TAAAATTTAATATAATGTTTTTAATTTAAAGAATTACATTTATTATTTATTTTTTAGTACTCATTGTTAAGATAGTCTTATTAGTACTTTCTACAATGAAATTTTATATTTATTACAAAAAAATATTTAAATATACTTTATTAATTTTATAATGCAATTAATAAAAATCATTGTTTGTAACATAAATTTAATATTGTTATTAAAAATAACAGTTTAGTATTAATTATTCTTCGAGTGTTTATTTCATGTTGTTTTAGTTGTTGTATTATTACTTTTATTTGTGATTAATTTGTTTCTTTATTTTATTTTTATTCACTTCTTTTTCTAATAGTTTGATATTTTACTTTTACATTATTATTTCTTTATTTATTATTCAATATTTCAATATTATGAAACAAATTTCTTAAATAATAATTTAACTGAAATTAATTAAAAATGAAAATATAGTAGCATTACCCTAAATCTTTTAACATGAACTTCAAACACAATACAAACATTAATATCATAAAAACAATATTATTATTGTTCTTTCATAAATTCATAAACATTTTATTTTATTGTTTTACCTCTTTCTCATTATTACTTTCTGTTTTAAATTTTAACAAATAATACAACTATAATATAAATAATTATTTTTATATGTCTCTATGAAAAAATAAAAAATAAACTAACAAAACTAATTAATATATTTTTAATACATTTTTATAAAAATTCAACTGGATATTATTATTTTATATTTATTAGTTGCTAATAGTTGTAACAAACAATGTAATATTCAATATAGAATTTGTTTATTGTCAAAAAGTATGATTCTATTAGTATTTCAATAAAAATCCATTAATATTTTTTGCTAATCTAATTTAAATAAAAAACATTAATTTTCAATTAGAAAAATCAATTGAGAATAATCAACATAATTTATTAAATCATTTTTATTACAAGAAAAAAACAGCATTTTGTTTCATTAAAATGAAAAAAAATATAAATAAATTATTTAACATATTACTTTGTAAATTATAAAATAAAATGTATTAGAATACTTCTTTATATAATAAACAAGATCATTTACTATTCATAAAATACTATTACATTATATAATTGTTATACATTTAATAATATGAATTAAACATGAAAATAAAGTAAAGAAATATAATTATATTTATTGTTTTAATTTTAAATTCATTATCCAGTTAAATTAAGAAAAATTTTAATGTATTTCTTTACCAGTCATTACTATGGTTAATTTTATATTATATTTGATCAAAAAATTTTTCTATTCTTCTTTTACTTATTATCTTGAACAAACATTTATTAGTCTTTCTTTCTGTTTTCTTATGTATTCTATTTAAATAATAGATGATAGTTTTTATTAGTATTTATTCTAATGTTCATTTATAATTTTAATAATTAATTAATAAGAGATGAAACGAATATTTATTTTTTAAATTGTCTTATTATTCTATACTATTATTGTTATTTATTTGTTTCAAAATATTTTTATTCATTTTGATAGTAAAATTGTTATTATAATACTGTATATTTCTTTATTTAAAATGATATAATATTAGAATATAAAAAGAGCTTATTTTAATTGTTGAAATGAATCGATCAATAACATACTTATTCTAATATAATTTTTTTTGAAACCAAAATTTGTTTCATTTTGTTACAGATTTTATCAGTTTCTGAAACTTAACCAAAAACAAAAATAGCTCAATTGAAAAAAGTATTTCATGAAAAAATATATATTTAAAATGAAACTATGCACTAACACATTTACCAAACAATTCACTACAATATAATAAAAGAAAATTGATTATATATATTTTATAAGATATTTTCATTTTGATAATATTTTATTTTGAAGAATCTAAACAAAGACAATTTTTTTTTACTTTAAAGCAGGATGTTACAAAAATCGTGATTATTAAACTAAACACAAAAACGTTCATTTCATTAAAAAAGAGAAAATAGACAAATGATAGATAGTCATCCCAGTCATATAATCCCTTCATTTTCTTTATTTTTAAAAAACCTATATTACTTCAACAAAATATTGAATAATATTCTTAAAAAACTATAGAAATTGAATTGAATGAATTTTAATAATATCAAAATATCAAAGCTTTTTTTTTAATATTATTAAAGATGTTTGATATTCTCTTATTAACCAAAGACAAACAGTACAACAAGAAAATTAAAAATAATCATTTAAATTGAATAAACACTAATTTATAATAAGTGAAGTGCTATATTTTTTTAAATGAACAATATATATATAAAGAGAATAATAAAGAAAAATATCAAGTAAGAAACTGGAAAAAAAAGAAAAGTGAGGTTTAATATAAAAAATGAAACAATTTCATTAAACTAAAGAAATTGAACAATATATTTAACAATAGATTTATCATTTTTTTCTACAACACAACTTTCTTTATTAGTACTTTGTAAAGAAGAAAAATAAGAATGAACTTGCTTTGAGAAAATTTTAACTTGAGAATCATTAAGAATCTGTAAACCATCTCTCCAAACTTCTTTAATAGTATTAAGATAATGAATTTTTTTCTTATTAGCACTCTTGTTAAAAACGAATTTATAACCAAATGATTGAAGTAGTGATTGATAGAAATGAATTTCTTCTATTTTTCTATTATTTTGTCCTCTTCTTATTGCAGTTTTTGAAGTAACACCATTTGAAATATATTCTTCATATATTTGTAAGCATCTTTCTTTAACTTCCTTATATACATCAATAACTTGATTATTTGAAAATTCTAATGTTCCAACTCGAAAGAATTGTGTTGTTACTGTTGCCTGTTTAATTGGATGAATTAATGTTTCAGTACAAAACTCATTTAATAATGCTATACATAATGCTTGTTGTAATGAAAAAGTAGTTCTTTCTTTTCTTAATGAACATGCTACTCTTTCTTTCTTTTTTTCTTGTAAACCTGTTGTTGCTTTATGTTCTATCGTAAAAGAATTGGTTGTTTTTTCTGTTTCTAGAGAATTGTCAATAGCAGAAGGTCGTTTCGTTGATGGCATTGCCATTTTATACTGTGACTTTATAGAGTTTTTAAAAAACAAAATTAAAACCTAAATTCTTTTTTTTTGGTTTTAGTATCTTCCAAATTAGTGGTTTTCTTTTTTTTTTCTATCACTCCTTACCTTAAAAGACTCATCTCTTTTGATATTCACCCACTCATTCTTCATAACTATAAAAATACAGAATAAAGTGCAGAATTTAGTTAGTTTATTTTACAATCAATCTCCTTTGGATTAAATACTGGTTATTGCATTTAATAACAATAATTATTATTTTTGTTTTACATTTTTAAATTAATAACATATTTTTATTTTATGTTTTTCTATAAAACATTATTTTTAGAACAAAAATTATAAAAAAGAAAGTATTGAATATTATAAAAAAATGTTAAAAATAAATATATAAAAAACCAATAAAATTATTCATAGACGTCAAAGGAAAACTCATTATTCTTGTATGAGAACAAAATTTAATTTCTAGTAAAAAAAAGAATAGAAAAGAAAAAAAAAGAATTATTACCTTTTTATTTTCGTTGTAATTCTTACGTATTATTTATCTGAATCTTTGTTGAATCGGGAAATTACAGAAAAATTAATTATTAAATTATATCTTTTTACATTAAATATTATTAGATGACTAAGAGGATAACTTCACAACAAGAAAAGACATTTACTTAAAAATATTAGATTATAATGGAAAAAATTGTACGTCACAAACCAACCTCATCTCTCAAAGAACTAAAACGTTGCTCAAAATCATTCGAAGCTATTCAACAAGCCTTTATTCTTTCATTATTAAACAATGAAGGTGTCGGGTTTAAAGTAAAAAAACCTGAAAGACGGTCTCAGAAAACATTACAACTTTTTTTAATTGAAACTTTAACACTTCCTTCTGGTGAAATTATTGAATATGAAAATGATGTTAACAATTACTGTAATTCATTTGTTGTTGAAGAATTAAAAGAATCTGGATATACCCATCTTGTTCCAAGTGATATTAATTCTATTGCTTCAATTACTAAAGTTGCTAAAAATGGAGTGTCAATGGAACGTTTAAAACAAATAAAAAGACATCGTAACGCAAATAAAATGTCTGTAAGTTTTAATTGGATATTAGATAGATGTCTTTCTTATGGTTATGAATTCAAAAAGAGATCAACAAAACCTACTAAATACACAACTAAAATGAATAAAATATGTGGAGTATCAGGTAAAATATCATTAAAATTATTACAAATTACAGAAATTGGAAAAAGAGTAAATGAAGAAGTCTACAAACGGTTTGATAAAAATACAACATCTGTTGAAATTAAAGGGAAAGATGAAACTCTTATTGAAATAATAAAAGAAGTTTCAGAACAGGGAGAAAAGACTAGTGTTGTTACTGAGGTCATTGATTCACTTAAAGAAGAGAATGAAATTAAAGTCAAAGAAGAACCTAAAGAAAATAAAAACGTTATAAATGAAATTACACCGATGGATATAAAAACTTATTTCACTCAACGCACTGAAATAAAAAATGAACCGGAGCCAAGTCTTTCAACTGAAATTCATTTTTTACCAAAAAATATTGATTATCAAATTATTTTTTGTGACACTGGCTTTACTCAACAAAATTGGAAAAGTAATGATTCTAGTATTGATGAAAATTTCTGTTCATCATTTGCTTAATAGTTTCTTGTTTATGTTCACACCATGATTGTTTATGAATAAGGAAGTTAAATTACTATCTCAACATAACTGTGATTTAATTCATTCTTTTAAAATAACTTAACTTATTTTTAAATTTTTCAAAGTTTTTAAATTAGTTATTTTATTTTAGTTAGAAAGTGAATTTAATAGCAAATAAGAATAGAGTAAATTTAATTACTTTTTTTCAATACAAATAGAATATAATAAAGGATGTCTCTATCGTGTAAATCGTTTATTCTTTAAAGTAAAAATTTAAAGTTAAGTTATAACTCTTCTAGTTTGGATACTACCACATCAATTGGTATTCTTTCATCTGGGTTTTGTTTCCAACATTGATCAATTAAGTCATATTGTTCACTTGTCATTGCCTCAGCTTTTGTCCTTCTGTTTCCTTGAGTTACAAAATCAGCAATAGACCATGGGAACTGAAATTGTGATTTTGGATATGCTGCACACCACCCAAAACATTCGTACATTGTAATTGCAAATGAATATATATCTGCTGATTGTTTATACCTAATCTTATTTAATATTTCTGGTGCCATATAAACAGGAGTTCCTATTCCTTTTGTAAATGTCATATTTGTCATCATCATATTAATGTTTCTTGATGCTCCAAAATCTGTTAGTTTACAATTAACTTGTTCATTTTCATCAAGTGATACAACAAGGAAATTGTCTGGTTTAATATCTCTATGTAATATTCCATTTGAATGAAGATATGAAATTCCTTTAGCTGCATTTAACATGAATTTAATTCTTAATTTCATAGACACTTGACTTATATCTCTCTTCTTAATTAAAACACTTAATGAACCATATTCTGCATATTCTGTTACCATACATATTTTATTATGAATAAATACTGCTCCATAAAAATGAATGATATATTCACTTCTGAATTTATCTAACATCACTACTTCTTTCTCAAATTCATCAAGAGATGATTGTTGTTTATCACTTTCTTTCATTTTCTTAATTGCTACTTTATTTCCTCTAAATTCTCCAACATAAACAATTCCAAATGATCCTTCTCCTATTTTCTTTTCTTCTTTTAATTCATCTGGATCAAGTCGTGTTGATAATTCTGTCTCTGCTTTAATTTTAATATTAGATTCAATTGTTGTTCCTTTCTTCATATCCAATGAAAATAATTTAATAATATCTTCAACG